TGACCCGTGGCGTCTGATCACAGTGATCTGGTATAACAGATCTGGGCGCACGAACAAGGTCAAGCTCGAATTCGTATCACCTAAGTGCAGGCTAAGCGGCGAGGGAGACGTGAAGAAACACAGAACAGTGGAGACGCCCGCAAGGGCAAGAATGTCACCACTGCGGTGTTGGCAAAGAAATACACGGCGGCTCCTCCACAACACCCCCGCCGATCTCATCACCTACATACCCGATCCTCCAAGGTTAAAGTCAGTCCGGCCAGTACGGCATCATGACAGTGCAGACGCATGTGGGCACAGGGCCAACGTTAGTATGCCCTGGGAGCAGGTGAGCATATCACGATGCACTTTTAGGACAGGCCTGAACACATTATATATGGCGACTGGCGGCGTTGTTTCACATTACGCCCTATCCGCAGCGGCATGAGCGGCGAAGGGAAATGAGGAGGCATGGGGGCAACCAAGGATCACAGGAAGAACACCGTAGCATCTGAAGACCACATAGCCGGCGGGCTGCCCGCAAATGGGGCTACTCTGTCAGCGCATAGAAGGGCATATTATTCTGTTCCAGGGTGAACATTGGCCATCCTCCCCTACGTTTCCTACCTCAGCCATACAGCCTCCGCCAAGTGAACAGGAAGTGTGCGACTATGGCAGCGTCGCAAAAGTATTTCCGCCGTATCCAATTGCACTTTAACTGTGGGGCCTTGGACTTGAAGTTGTGGCCAGATGCACTAGTGAGGTGTTGAATCAGAGGGCTATATGCCCAGTAGCGGGCTTTCACCGAGAGACAGGAACTGTGACGCGAGCGCGCGCGCCTGTGTTCCGATGCCTGTGTTGCCCTTTCTGCAGCACTGGGCTGGACGAAACCCTCGTCGAGGGACGAAGGATTTAGACCATAGCTCATTCTCAATCCTCCGCCTCCTCCAAGGAGCGCTCACCGAGGATCGTGGCTTGGAAATGCCTGTAGCAACGCGCGAGAAACGACGAGGTGAGGTCCGTGGGCCCGCGGAGGGGGGGGGGGGGCGTGGCGCGCAGAAGCGAGGAGCAAGGAGAGCGGGGAAGCCGGAGGAGAAGCACCAAAGCCAGGAGGAGAGAGCCAGGCACGCGAAAGGCGAGGGCCAGCACATAGAGGGAGTGAGGCATGGACAAAGTGGCGACGCGACGAGCAAACAGAAAGAAAGACTGTGCTAACCATGAAAAGAAACACAGCGTTACGGAACCGTGTTTTTTAACTGTATCGCGGCGCGCTTGCGGAGAACTTTGCGTGGAGGGCCTGTGTCCTACTGAACGCCGCTGTGCAATACCGCAGAAGAGCCCTGAGTGATAACGTCACTGCATGCATGTTCCGATTCTTTTCGGCGGACTGGAAGGCCAACTCGGTACTCGTCTTCCCCGGCAGCTCTCCGCTGGAGGGCCCAAGCATAGGCAACGCCATCTACAAATGAGTCCCACAGAGGGGGACGGGGAGCCTCAGATCGCCCGGTCCGGCAGCCAGTACGCGTTCGCCTGAAGCATGCTCACAGGTTTTTTTCGGGAATCGGGCTCTCGCCTCGCTGCCCGCTGCATTGTTTGTCCAAGCGACCACGATCCAGGGCAACTGACCGCACTTGGGTGCACATGGCCGTGCTTTTCCACACTTGTCCCAGCTGCGTTCAACCCTGCCCCATCTCTTCACCCTCGCTACTGTTTGGGTGTTTTGTTGGGGAAGTTGAATTCTCGGAGCACTGTATTCAATGACGGCGAGCGAGCATTTGTAGACGAGGCTGCCACATGATGATTTTCCAAGCACGTTTGCGTGCCACCATACATCCTTCATCCCGTTTGCATATGGGCAGATGTTCCCCTTTGTTGCGGCAACTTGTCAACAAGGCTTGTGGTTCTGGGTTGCTCTTACAGCGTGTCCAAACAAACAATCGTTCTGATCGCTGTGGGACTCATGTGGAACCGTCCATCTTGCATTGCGCGGGTATTTTCCGAAAGAGAAGATGCGTCGGGACACATCCCCCAGCTCGACGATGCTGCTCTCAAGATGCGCGCGTCAATCTCAATCGTCATGTGGTCAACTGGTACAGCGACAACATACCAACAACACGAAGTATGATCCGCATCCTGCGCTCGATGTTGTTACCCAGCCTTATCGCACTTCTTGTCTGGGACTTCTCCTATGGGATCTTACTTGGCAAGAACTTGTGCTGCTTGTGAACTATCCGAAAACAGCTGCACGTGCTGTGTGCTCGCGGGTAGACGAGTCCGGCTGTCCTTTACATTGAAATGGTCGTGCTCTCCGCTGCCTTCACTCCACGTCGCAACTTATCAAAAGGGTGGCGGCGGCAAGACACTTACGGAATGAACAAGGCGTGTTGGGCGGGCGTTGCGCGGGGCACATATGCCACGATGCCTGCGTAATCTGCGGGCACGGAACATCTCGGAATCCGTGAGCAACGCATTGTAAACGATACGGCGCTTGACTTTGCACGAAGAAAACCGTCGGGGGCAGTAGGGCTCCAATGCTTTGACGGTCCCAAGACATTCGGCGCTGCTCTGTTCCAGCGCCACGAGAGAATGGCGTTGCCCCGTGTCATCTTACTACCAAGACGTTGCAGGGATACCCTGCTGGGAGCCGGTCCGCGCGATCGGGTGTAGCGTACATGGTCGCCATCACGGCCACGAGGGCTGCCTCGTCGTCATCGCCGTCGCCACCGTCGCCATCATCTTCGCATCCACGGCGATACCATCCGTGGCTTCTTCGTCTCATTCGTGATTACCATTTTACGATGCTGAATATCAGCCACAAACAGGAAACGGGACACCCTGTCCGATGTCCGCGACCTGGCAGGTGAGGTGGGCGTACCGATGAGCCGTTGCAACATCGACCTCCCGGGCGTGGACTTCGATGCTTCCAGCGCCCAGGGTCATGGATGCGCCATCGCGCGCACGGCGGGCACCGTCGCCCGCTCAGCGCAGGCGCCGCGCGTGACTCGGCGCAGGCACCGCATGTGCGTCAGATGGCAGGGTGCAGGAGGAGGAGGAGGAGGAGGGAGGAGGAGGAGGAGGAGGAGGAGGAGGAGGAGGAGGAGGAGGAGGAGGAGGAGGAGGAGGAGGAGAGGAGGAGGTAGGGAGGGAGGAGGAGGAGGGAGGAGAGGAGGACGGCCCAAGGGGAAGGCAGGAGGAGGAGGAGGAGGCGGAGGCGTCGCCCCCTCTCGACATAATGGCCCCCCAGCGCAGGCGTTTGTTTCGTCGGGGACGGCTACCATGTCTGCTCCCCCGATCTCTCTCCCGCGCGGGCCGATGAATCCGCCGCCACACTGGCCGGCACCCGCCCCCCAGGTTGCGCCCGCGATGATAAAAAGGACAATCCCTAGGGCGCGGGGGCACCTCCTTCCGCCGCCGCGCGCCGACCGCGTGGTCAACGCAGGCGCCGCGGGCGCTCGTTTGCACCTGTGCGCTGGCACCGCCCACGGTGTAAAGCGCTGGCACCGCCGGCACGTCTGAGCACACTGCGCAGGCATCGCCTTGCCGTCGCGGGCACCCGTGCGGGCACGCGGGAGATTGCTTCCTGCTGGCGAAGGCACGCCGCCCCACTTGCGGTTATCAAACTATCAAGGCTGAGGGGGAGGGGGGGGAGAAAGAGGGGAATGGGGCGGGGGAGTGCGAGCGAATCTTCGCATTGTATCAGCGTCATTGCATCGAGCGGGGCGTCGCGCCCTCGCGGGGGCCAGTGTACGGGGTCCTTGCTGCCAGACCGAATCATCTTGTAACGTTTTGGAGTGCGCAAGGGGGAATGCTCGTACGCTTCGGAATGGGTACGGGACATGCGGCGATGCCCGAGAGAAAACTCCTTGTCCAAAACCGGCAGCGGCCGCTGTTGGGCAGGCGACTGTCTAGAATGGGCTACTTCTGCGGAGACGCCGACGGCGAGTCGGGTTCAAAATGGACAGGGGCTGCTGTCGGCCCGCGAACCACTTTTTCCGCACACACTGCGATCTTCCTTACGGCATGTCTGCGTGCCAGGGCCTCTGAATTCCATGCATCGGAAGCCGGGCAAGGGCTGCTAAATCCGTGGCTGCTAAAATCGACCTCTGGGAAGGTGTCTTCGTCCTTCCGGGAAGAAGCCCGTTGACTGTTTCGCGTGCCGCGCCCCACTCCGGGAAGGTGTTCTTTCCTTCCGGGAGGGCCGCTTCAGCAGCCACGGCATTACCAGCCCTCGCCACTGCTTGAACGGCTGCGTGCCAGGGCCTCTGCTTTCGAATGCAGTGCTGCAGCTCGTGCGGGCTGCCCTGGGAGGAGGACCGCCACGCTGAGCCGCCGCCCCGATGCGCCCTGCACGCGAGACGATCGGGCCAGCGGCTCACTCCTCCTCCTCCTCCTCCTCCTCCTCCTCCTCCTCCTCCTCCTCCTCCTCCTCCGCCCCCTCCTCCTCCATATCCCCCCTTCTCCCCTCCTCCTCCTCCTCCTCCTCCTCCTCCTCCCCTTCCTCCCCCTCCTCCTCCCCATCCTCATCATCGTCCTCCTCCTCCTCCTCCTCCTCCTCCTCCTCCTCCTCCTCCTCCTCTCCTCCTCCTCCTCCTCCTCCTCCTCCCTCCTCTCCTCCTCCCCCTCCCACCTCCCCCCTCCTCCTCCCCCTCCTCCTCTCCTCCTCCTCCTCCTCCTCCTCCTCCCTCCTCTCCTCCTCCTCCTCTCCTCCTCATCCTCTCCTACCCTCCTCCTCCACTTACGCCGTAGCCTTTGATCCCCCCTCCTCCCCTCTTCCTCCTCCCCTCCTCCTTCTCTTCTCCTCTCCTCCTCCTCCTCGTCATCGTCCTCCTCCTCCTCCTTCCTCCTACTCCTCCTCCTCCTCCTCATCCTCCTCATCATCCTCCCCCCTGCTCATGCTCCTCCGCCTCCTCTTCCTTCCCCTCCTTCTCTTTCTCCCGCTCCGCCCTACTCCTCCTCTACTCCTCCACCTCCTCCTCCTTCTCCTGTTCCTCCCTCACCTCCCGTATCCCCGTCGCCCGAGCCTTGCGCAGCGTGAAGCTGAACTCGTGGGGCTGCCCAGCTGTCGCCGCCGCCGCGGGCTCCCGGGCTGGCCCCGAGGTGAGCGAACTCGCCAGCGACAGCTGCGTCGGCCCTGCCCTCCGCTTAGCCGCCGCTCTGGCCCTGCGCCTCGCCCGTGCTGCTCCAGCTCCCACGCTCGCCCCCCTGCTCTATCCACCCTCGGCTCTCCATTCCCCCTCCCTCTTTTGTCCCCCGTCCACTGTTCCTTCCCCCCTCCCCTCTTTCTCCTCCTCCTCTTCTTCTTCCTCCTCCTCCTCTTTGTCCACCTCCTGCTCCTCGCCCCCCCTCCTGCCCCTGCCCCTCCCCCTCCCCCACGTCCACGTCAACCTCGTCGTCGTCGTCGTCCTCCTCCTCCCCTGCCCCTCTCCCTATCTCATTCGCCCTCCCCCCTTCACCCATTACCCTCCCTCGTCCTGGTCTTCGCCCTCCTCCCCGCCCATATCGTCCTCCAGCATCTCGCCCGTCCTCCTCCTTCTCGCCCCTTCTCCTCCTTCGCCTCCCCCGGGCGCCCCCCCAGCAATCGGAGGACCGAGGCGGCCGGCGGGCCGCGGCAAAGGGGGGGAGGGAGGGGCGGCGCAGCCCGTGCGCCCACCTCCCGGCCACCGGGCAGCGCTGCCGAGGAGCGGCGGCGCGCCGAGGGGGAGACGTGCGATGGGGGCAGGCCGCGGGGGAACCACCCCAACCCCAACCCGAAGACCCGAATTTCGGGTTGGGGGGGGGGTACGGGCTTCATGTGTGTTTTCTCAACGCTCCCCGACCCCCCCCCCCACTGGAAATGGAGGGCAAACTGGGGCCTTCGGGTGGGGTTGGGGTAGTTTGGTGGGCGGTGATTCTCAGAAGGCGGCGGGGCGTTCCAGCAACCACCCCACCTCCTGAAAGGCCCCCCCTGTGGCTGCGGCGAAGGCCTAGAAAGCCTCATGATGCCCAGCGCTCTCTGAGCCTTCTGAACGGGCGCGCCCCCGCTGCCTTACCCCTGGGCGCGCCGCTGAGAGGAGGAGGAGGAGGAGGAGGAGGAGGAGGAGGAGGAGGAGGAGGAGGAGGAGGAGGAGGCGGATTGCGGAGGCAGGAGGAGGAGAGGGGGAGGAGGAGGAGGAGGGGCGGAGGAGTGGGAGGAGGAGGAGGAGGGGGAGGAGGAGAGGAGGGGGAGGAAGAGGAGGGGGAGGAAGAGGAGGAGGAAGAGGTGGACGGGGAGGAGGAGGAGGAGGAGGAGGAGGAGGAGGAGGAGGAGGAGGAGGAGGAGGAGGAGGAGGAGGAGGATGAGGAGGATGAGCAGGAGACTGTCGGAAACACAGCCTTTGAGGGTGGCTGGCCCCTACACGAATGTATGGAAATGAAGAACGTTTGCCACTGGGGGCCGTTGCTGACTGGACAATTGCCAACAACTGGGAGGAGGTGCGTGACTCAGGATCGATGGGGTAGCCTGATGGTCCGGGATGATGGGGCAGCGGGTATGGAAGCAACATGCAGGAAAGGCACACTAGGACATCAGGGAGGATGGGGCGGACAGGAGATGGACGGGGGACGAGAAGAGAGAGAAGGAGAAGAAAACAAGGGGAGAGAACAAAGGGAGCGGCAACAAGACGAAACGCAATAGTGATAGACTTGCTCTCAACTGCTCCACACAAGCGTAGAAAGCAGATGTCTCGAGAGCGAAGATCGACCACGCGGTCGGGACACGCTAGCTTTCAAGGACCTGCGTGGCTGAATCCCCATTCGACCCTTAATTGCGCTGAAGTGGCGCATCTAAGAAGGCCGCTTCGGGGCCTCTGAGGGTCGCATCTCTTGTGCGGGGTTGCAAGATGAGCACGGAGGTGCCAGAACATCGGGGAAGCAAGAGTGGCACCTCCACTGAGGGCCGTGAGTCCCAATTTGTATAATACAGACGTCTTTCCAACTCCAGAATCCACTGGGAAAAACTGTCACGGGTGAGAGTCCCGATTGCAAAGCGCCTGGACGAACAACAACAAATTAATCTATCCTCTGGTTTGCACTGTCTTGGCATCCCGTGTTGAATGCTTATCCCGTGGGGTGGGGTAGCTACCGTAGTGCGTACGATGTCTGCGAAGTCGAAACTAAAGGTAGCAGACATACAGGAGGTTGCGTGCCGGGGCGGGGATAACGAGCTTATCCCCTTTATCTAACACTCGCACAGCTTTCCTGCCCAATGGTAAGGTTTGCCTGGAGCATGATGCAAGTCTGTGCGTAGCATCGTGCAGAGGCAACACGAGGCGCAACAAATTATAACCACCTGCACAGCCCAGAAACGTAGTAGTCTGAGGCATGATGCAAGTATGTGCGTAGCACTATGTCGAAACAGTATACGACGCAACAAAGTAGGACCACCGTGGTGTTCAAGCGTTGCGTTTGACTTGCCCTACGCCCGCTGGCGCCTGGCTCACGCATCCGAGCGTGGAGAAAAAGAGCGCCCGTAGTCTTTACCTCCCATCTGCGATCACTTTCGTGAGTTTCATACTCGCGCATGCTGTGACCTATTTGGGAGCCGAAATTCGTGACATGTTCGTTGTGCCGTACTTCTGTGCAGACGTACTTCGGGAGCCGAGTTCCGTGACATGTTCGTTGCGTCGTGCTGCAGTGCGGGCTCAACGCTGGAGCCGAATTTCGTGAAATTTGCGTTGCGTGGACTTTTTTCCGGGGACGCATGCGTGCTCTCTGCTTTCAGAAGCTTTTCCTTTGAAGCTGTCCAGACAAGTCGCAAACTTACTCATTGACGAATTGATATGGTGGGATGTTGCAGCCAAAGCGGGGACAACATCATATTGACATGCATGTTCCTGCCGCTGGTCATAGTGCTACACGCGTGGGGGCAAACGTGGAATTCCCTGCGCGTGTCCTGAGGCGTGCTGTTGCTATCTGGGCTGACCTCCCGCCTAATAAGATCGGCAATTCCAAACAACAGTGCGCGGGGCAATGGGATGAGCTGGAAAGCATAATAAAACGAAACAAAGCGGGAGGGACACACGGGGAGGACGCAAAGGGAGCGGCAGCATGACTGCGAAACAGTCGAGCGATTGAAATGCTTGCTACATCTCCATACCAACGCGGGGGCCGCGAGGCACGAAAACGCAATGTGATCACACATTCACGGGTTACTCTGGGACCGGGGCCGCTTAAGAAAGAAATCTGTCGGCCACGCGGCCGGGACACGTTACCTTGCGCCGCATGATGGGGAACCGTGTGGCGGCATCCCCATCCTACTCGCAAGAGCGCTGGGCCGGTGTACAGTTTCGACTCCAAAACTAGTTGTGAGGAGGTCCAAAAACACGTTCCACATGTCACGGAGACGGTGCGGGCAGCGCTGATGTATAACAGCGGCGCTTGGCATCAATGTCAGATCTGTGTGTTGATAGCGAGCCGCGACACGCGATCGCGATAGGGAGCATCACGGCGGGCAGGACTGGAGATATTGAGCTAATCATGGGGAAGAAGGCGAGGGATGGCAGCAAGAACACACCAAGGCGTTGGCAGTCTTGCCTGGAAGGGGAAGTCTGGGCAGGCCGATCGGGATGGTGCGGATGGGGCCCGTTTGACAATAGCGGGTCGCACCGCTTGAGCGGGGTAGCAGGATGGGCAGGGAAGGCGCAACAACATCGGGGTAGCAAAATGGTAAAGACGGATGGGGCAGACGGTGGGGGCAGGAAACGAAGAGGACAAGAAGGGGCAAGCGGGCGACGCGCACACGAAAATATGAACCCTGGGTTTGGGGCACGTGGGCTTATGAACATGTCTGTGCCACCGCATGGGCACTGGCAGGCCCGAGCCTGGTAGGCCCGAACACTGGCCATCGTAATAGCTGAAAGGGTAGCGGGATGAGCTGAGAAAGAGCAAGGGCACCGAAGTAGCAAGGTGGCCAAGAAAGATGTGGAAGCAACTGAGGAGGAAAGATGACGGAAGGATTGCAGGTGTCGCCCCAGCTCCCTAGCCTTTTGGGTGCTTGTGAATGTGCTCGTCGGGAGTGCAAGGGTCGCACTCTCTCACCAACGCCCCGTGCGCCCTTCACAAGAATCGAACCCCAAGGATGCGGGAAGCCTTCGGAACGGGGAGGAGAAGGAGGAGGAAAAGGAGGAGGAAAAGGAGGAGGAGGAGGAGAGTAAACCCAAGACGCGTAAACGATGTTGTAATGAGCAATCCCTCCAATTCTCACCAGTCCTCTGGGCGTAAGTGGTTTAACGAACTCTTGTCTTCTCTCTTTCCGCAACCCTCCTTCCCATGCTCGCTGTTCCCTATTAAAATACCCCCAGGCGACCTGCAGCCAACCAAGAACAATGCCGACCTTATGCTCCCCACCCGTGAACCATCCCTGTCAAACAGCATAACAAAACACTCTGCCTCCAAATTCGGAGCCTGCGCAACCAACCCGATGCGGGTCCCCCACACCATCCCCGTCAAAAACACGAGTCCTGTTCGTGAGGCCCGCGAGCAGTTTATATTGTTTGTTTGGCAGGGGCGGCGGGGGCCAGCATATTGCCTGCTGTGCGCAGGGCTACCATCCCTAACCAAAAACAATGCAAAATGCACCTCGGGGCTAAATCTGTATCATGCGCGGCCACACCGCGATCACTGTCAAGTAGCTTTTGTCAGGGACGGCGGGGGTGGTGGCGCATGGCCTGTTGTGCGCAGACCCACCAGACACCATGATGGGAATTGGTATCGACAAGGATGGTGGGTGTCGACATGTTTCCCAATGTGTGCTGCCACGTGCGCAGGCACACTTGACACACTCTGCACGTGCCCCGAACGTAGTGCCCCTGACGCGGCTGGAGTATGCGTGATACCTGGTGCACGTGGAGCGCGCAGCGCATCTGCCGCACCAGGCGTGCCTGGCACGCTCGGGCCCCAGGGGTGCCTGGCGCTCGTGGCGCGCCTGGCACGCGTGGCGCACCTCACTCCAGCGTCGCGCACATGGGGTCGATTTTGGTTCCCAGTAGCTGTCCATCCTAAGACGACCGCTGAACATGCTGAGGCTCGGGTGTTACTCATGTGTTGTGAGGACGGGTGGGAGTGAGCTAGACGGCTTGCTATATAGGAGGGTGTCATGATCACTGTTCCCTATTAACATACATCCCCTCCCCTAGGCGACCGGCAGCCAACTAGCCATCCCTGTCAACAAAAACAAACATAACGCACTCTGCCTCTACATTTGGAGCATGCGCGGCCAACACGATGCTCCCCCCACCATCCCTTTAACGAAACAATACATGCACTTTGGGGCGAAGTCTTGAGTCGAGTCATGTTCGTGAGGCCCGCGAGCAGTTTATATTGTTTTTGACAGGGACGGCGGGGGTGTCAGCATATGGCCTGCTTTGAGCAAGGCTACCATCCCTGCCCAAAAACAATGCAAAATGCACCTCGCGGCTAAATCTGAATCATGCGCGGCCACTCCGCGATCACTGTCAAGTGGCTTTTGACAGGGACGGCGGGGGTGGTGGCGCGTGGCCTGCTGAGCGCAGGCCCACCAGACAAAATCATGGGCATTGGTTTTCGACAAGGAGGGTGGGGACCGACATGTGTCCCGATGTGTGCTGTCACGTGCGCAGGTGCACCTGACACATTCTGCACGTGCCCCAGACGTGGCGCACCTGGCGCGGCTGGAGTATGTGTCACACCTGGCGCACGCGGAGCACGTGTAGCATCTGGCGCATTAGGCGTGCCTGGCACGCTCGAGCCCCAGTGGTGCCTGGCGCGCGTGGCGCGCCGCACGCGTGGCGCACCTCGCCCCAGCGTCGCGCACATGGGGTCGGTTTGGTTCCCAGTAGCTGTCCATCCTAAGACGGCCGCTGAGCATGCTGAGGCTCGGGTGTTACTCATGAGTTCGGAGGGCGGGTGGGAGTGAGCTAGACGTCTTGCTATCCAGGGGGTGTCTTAGTCTCTGCTCCCTATTGATATACCCCCCCCTCCCCGACACGGCCGGCGGCCAACCCTGAACCATGCCGACCCCGTGCGGCCCCCCCCATCCCTGTCAAAAGACAATACAAAACGCACTCTGCCTCTATGTTTGGAGCATGCGCGGCCAACTCGATGCGGCCCCACAACCATCCCTGTCAAAAAGAATACACAGTACATCTTAAGGGCAAAGTCTTGAGTCATGTTCGTAAGGTCCGCGAGCACTTTATGTTTTGACAGGGACGGCAGGGGTGTCAGCGTATTCCACGCTATGCGCAGGGCTGCCATCCCTGACAAACAACAACTACAACATGCACCTCGCGGCTAAATCTGGATCATGCGCGGCCACCCCGCGATCACTGTCAAGTGCTTTGTTTTTAGGGACGGCGGGGGTGGTGGCGCGTGGCCTGCGGTGCGCAGGCCCACCAGACACAATGATGGGCATTGGTTTCGACAAGGATGGTGGGGGCCGACATGTTTCCCGATGTGTCCTCCTCCTCCTCCTCCTTAGCCTCCCCCTCCTGCTCCTCCTCTCCCTCCTCCTCCTCCTCTTCCTTCTCCTCCTCCTCCTCCTCCTCCTCTCCCCCTCCTCCCCTCCCCCTCCTCCCCTCCTCCTCCTCCTCCTCCCCCTCCTCCTCCTCCTCCTTCTCCTCCTCCTCCTCCTCCTCCTCCTCCTCATGCTCTAATAGGATCAAAAAAAGGTGGGGTGCAGCGCCGATCCAAGAATTCCACGTGGACCTCCGAGAACATTCTGCGCGGAGGGAGAGGGTCACAAGCCTCCCAGACGAGCAATTGTAGACCCCCCCAAGACCAGCCATGAAAGGGCGCCTTTTGCGCAGACCCCACCCGGAGCCCTCCAAGACAGCTCACAGCAGGACCCCCCTCCCAAATCAGAGCACCCCCTTTTTATGGTGGCATCCGGAGTACTTAGAACACAGAAGTCAGAGCCCCTCAGTGCAAGCCCTGTTTGAGGAATTGTCTGCCAATTTAGCGACTGGTCGGCGGTTCTTCGTCGGAGCCGGCATCTCGCTCGAGGCTCCGCTGGATATCTGGGCCGAACGGGCAGGTGTGAAGCGGCTGCACGGATCGAGGGCTTCCCCTTTCAGAGCGGGGCTGTCGCCGAGCACTTCCTTGGACTTACTCTTCAGGACTCGAGCGACGGCGGGCGGTTGCCCTCAAGACGGAGCTCCCGCCCGAGCGGCACGCCCAGGGGGGCGCTCTCGGCTTTCAAGGGGGGGGGTACCTCGCGCAGAAACAGACCAGTAGGGACTGACAAGTCGGGGACCTGGGACGGGAGGGTCTATTGCAATATCGCGCATGCATCTTGGACTCACTCTAGTCATCCTCCGTTCTTATCCTCCTCCTCCTCCTCCTCCTCCTCCTCCTCCTCCTCCTTCCCCGTTCCTCCTTTCTTCCTCCTCCTTCCACTCCTTATCTCAATCTCTCTCTCTCTCTCGTCCCAAGCTTCGTCCTGCTCTCCTCCCTCCTCCTGCTCCCCCTGCCCCTTCCCCTCCTCCCTCTCCCTCTGCTCCTCCCCTCCTCCTTCCTCTTGCCCTTCCTTCCTCCTCCCCCTCCACCTCCTCCTCCTCCTCCTCCTCTCTCCTCCTCCTCCTCTCCTTCTCCTCCTCCCCCTCCTCCCCCTTCTCCCCCTCCTCCTCCCCCTCCTCCTCGTCCTCCTCCTCGTCCCTCCTCCTCCGCCTCCTCTTCCTCCTCCTCCTCCTCATCCTCCTCCTACTCGTCCTCGTCCTCGTCCTCCTTCTCCTCCTCCTGCTCCTCCTCCTCCACCTCCGTAGCCATTTTGGCTCAGGCCTATGCTTGGGCGGGCTGTGCCCGCATTGGCAGTAACGGATACCGCTAGTCCGCGGCATACCCCGACTTTTCCTCCAGGTCCGCCCCTGGAGAGAGAGCCTGGACGGACTTGCTGCGCGCCGCCGTCTTGCGCGCATCCGCCTTTCGGTGCAGGGAAACCGACTACCAGCGTGGTCTGCCGCGTCGCCTATGGCACCCAGGAGGTATGGGCCATGGATCCAGTCGGGTCCGATGTTGAAGTGCACAATCTGCGGCTGCGGGAAGAACCACGCCACGTGGTACTTGTGCAAGCACTGCTTCAGCCCCAAGAACGACCAGCCGAGCGAGGCCCAGACCCCGCGGCCACGTGGGCAATGGGCGCGCGGGCGCCCTGCTGCTGGTGGCGCTGGTGGTGCTGCTTGGCATGACGGCATCCAGGTCGAGAAGCTGGACCCTGCGCAGCTCCAGCACCTCCTCGCCGTTGCCGCCGGGCTCGGCAACTCGAACCTGGAGCGCCGCTGCAAGGCCACCATCACCAAGCAGGAGACGCCTCCCCCCTCCAAGCCGCTGGCCACCCGACTTTCGGGCGTCACCTGCGCCAGGGACCGTCAGGTCAAGAAGCTGGCCGCCGCCATCGGGCAGCTCGAGAAGCTGGAGAAGGCGGCCGACGAGCAGCGCGACCAGAGCGAGCATATCAACAAACAGCTCGAGGAGTACACCCAGCATCACCACGAGCTCCTCACGCAGCTCCACAAGAGCAGAATCAAGGCCTCCGAGCCTGTCATGGCCCTGGGCTCGCTCCTCGACGGCACCTGCGACTCCGCCAAGACCGACGTGGGCAGCATCTTCGACTTCGGCGACGAGGACATCTCGCAGGAGGACAGGGAGGAGGTCCAGGCGCGCCGCGCCGAGCTAGAGGAGCAGATCACCCACATGGCGCGAGAGGTCTTCCAGCAAGCCGCCGACGCCGCCAAGGCTGTCAATAAGCAGCACCAGGAGCGCACGGAACGCATTGGCAAGACGCGGCGCGGTGGCGCTGGTGCCGCGGCCGCCGCGGCCGAGGCGGCCGCCTCGGCCCCGCCCACCGTCTACGCGGGCGGCGGAAGTGACGCGGCCGCGCGCGAGCACACCGCAGGCGCAGCCCCAGGCGCCGACGCGCAGCGGGTGGCGGTCCAGGCTCGTGCTTCGCAGATCTTGGCCAAGCGTCAAGCAGCGGCGGCGGTGCGTCCAGGCTCGGATCGGGCCCAGGCCCCCGCCGCGGCGCCTGCCGCAGCGGCGGGGGCCGTCGCGCCCTGAGGAGCGGGCCAGCGGGCCCCCCGACCCTGGCCCCGCATCACAAGCCTCCGTGTCGAGCGGGGGGCGGGGGGAAGAAGGCCGAGGCTGCTGCGCGGGTGGAGCAGTCTCTCGCCCAGCCCTCGGTCAACGCGGCCCTGCGGGGCCGCAGCCTCCTGGACATGGAGGAGGTTGATGTTCGCAGAGCTCGACAGATGTGCGGACGGCGAGCCCGTTGAAGTGAGCGGGGTCGCAGATCATGAAGAGGCACCCCCACCTCGAGCCCACGCAGGAGTCAAACCTCCGCTGGCCACGGTGGGGGAGGAGGAGGACGGGCGCCCCCTGCGTCTCCAAGGGGGGGCGGCGGGGTGGAACCCACACTGTCGCGCCCACTCTGCGGAGGATGGTGGCGGGCGTACCGACCGCCCCCATTTCGCACCAGGCGCTGGATCACTACTTCGGCGTACTCTTCGGGAAGTTGATGCGGCGGGAAACGCCAGTGCCCCTCAGCGTGGAGAGCGAGGTTGCGAGCTGTATGGCGCTGGACCTGCCCGCAAGGGCGCGGCTGCACTTTCCTTTGGCAATATTGCGGAATGGGGCCCGAAGTCTCTCGGTTTCTTACGGGCCCAGGGACGACAGTGCAATGCGGTGTGCTTCGTCGAGATGCACAAGAAAGCAGCGGTCGAGCAGGGCATCCGCACGGAGGTCGCCAAGGACGGCTGGCACGCCATGGTCACCCCAGCCGCGCCGTCGGTCAAGTCTGCTTCAAGCGAACTTCGGGATGCAGAGGTGGCGAGGCCATCTTCGTCCTGAAGCACCTGGCAGCCACCTCCTGGGAGCGCATGCTGGGCGAGTCGCAGTGTAAGGCCTTCCGGGCGGCCACCCTGCACCTCCAGCGGGGGAACCTCGTCGTCGTGACGGCGCACCTCTTCCCTGGCGACACGCTGGGGGGCGCCAACGCCGAGCGCCTTCGGTCGGTCGGGCACTTCGTCACGACGCTCGCCGACCCGTGGGTCATCATCGGAGACTGGAACCTCAGCACGGAGCAGCTTCAGGCCTCCCAGTTCATGCAGCTGGTGGACGGCATCATCGTCAAGCCCGACGTGGACATCACGTGCTCCACGGCCTCGGGCTCGTCGCTCATCGATTTCGCGGTGGCCAAGCGCGGCTTCGAGGCCTTCTTGCAGCTTCGCGCCTGTCTGCAGGTGCCCTGGAAGACGCACGTGGGCCTGGAGCTGGACATCGCCAGCGGCCGCGAGCAGTGGTGGCACCAGGTTCTAGCGGTGCCGCGGGCCCTGCCGCCCCTCGAGCGCCCTCGCAGAGCGCCGCTGGAGGGCAGCAAGCGGGCGCGCAGGATGCTGGCGCAGAGGCGGCGGCGCAGGGGTGACCTCGACCCGAACCTGCGCGCCGCCTTCGACGACCTGGCCAAGGGCGTTGAGGTTGCCAGCTCGCAGGGCCCCTCGGAGGTGGAGGTGGCCTTCCACATCCCTCCTGAAGCCTGGGACCTGGCGGCTTGTGCAGTCGCAAGCCAGCCGCGCGCGCCGCCGCGCGTTGGCGAGGCATGGGCTGTCCCTGCGGGCTCGGGGGTCGGGGCGGTCAACGACCTCTACGGCCGCTGGGTGAGCGCGCTGGAGGAGACGGTGCTTCAGGTCGAGGGCGCGGACGACACCACGCGCAGGTCATGCTCAGGTTGAGCCGAAGTTCCAGACCTGACATGGGCAAGAATGATGCCGTCTCCAGGAAGGGCGCGCATGAGGGCGCCCGCAGTGGAATGGTGGTGGACGTTGGACACCCTCCTCACGAGGCTGCTGACGCCGCGCAAGCACAACTCCGACCACCAGCAGCGGCTCACCACCGTGGAGACCATTGGGAGGATGATGGAGCAGGGCGAGAGCCAGCCCAAGGACGTCATCTTCGGGAAGCGCATGTGCACGGCGGACGTGAAGGCGTGGACGGCGGCGGTCCACTCCAGCACTCGCGCCGCAGCGGAGCTGGAGGAGCTGGGCGCCGTGGTCGAGCGCACCCGCGAGCTGGTGCAGCGGGCTTTCGCGCGCAGCTTGGCTGCTGCTGGCCAAGCGTTCGTGCGCTGGGCTCAGGACAGTTGGAGGAGGCGCCCAGGCGCGGCCCACCGGCGCGTCGAGGCCGAGGCCGCCGCCTCAGAGGCCGTGGCCGACCCAGCAGCCCTGCTGGCCGACAAGGCTGCCTGCTGGGGGCCGCGCTGGCAGGGCCCAGCAGCGTCGCGCCCCGACCTCCTCCAGGGCATGCGTCTCCTTTGGCAGGAGGCGCAGCAGCAGCCGCTCGAGCCGCTAGAGGTGGAGCAGGCGGAGAGCATCGTCGGGCGCATGTCGGGGGCCAAGGCCAAGGGCATCGACGCCCTCTCGCCGCTGGACATTCAGAGGCTGCCGAGGCAGGGGCGCCAGGGCTTCACGGACGTGCTCGACGCCGCTGAGCGCCTCGGCAACTGGCCGCGCCAGCTTCTTCTCGCCGTGTGCTGCGCGATCCCCGAGCCCGCTGGAGGCGACAGGGTGATCGGGCTGCCCCCTACCGCGGCGGGCATCTGGTCCCGCGCTCGAGCCACCCCCACCGACCAATGGTCTGAAAGTCTCGGAGAGTACTGGGACACTGCGGCGAGGAAGAGTAGCGCCCTCAGGGCGGCGATCGTCAGGGCAGTGATGGACGAGTCGTCGGCGTCGTCGGGTTTCATGCCGGCTTTCCTTTTGCTCGACATCGGGAATTTCTACGACAACGTCAATCTGTTATTGCTCATGAAGGTCTCTCGTGAGCAGGGTTTCCCACCTGCGGTGACCCCGCTCGAAGTCCAGCTGTTCCTGGCGCCGAGGGTTCCCCAGGCCAGGGCGACTTGCAGCGATCTTGCGGTCCCAGAGCGGTCCATCATTGCGGGGTCGGCGCACGGGGTTAAACTTGCGAAGGTTTTCCCCGGGCCGATGTTGCAAGCTTCGCATGGCAGTGCGAATTTTCCGAGGGCCCCACCAGTTGGGCTCTGGACTTTTGTTGACGAAACGGTCGTCAAGAGCGAAGGCGCTGAGTCGTCTGTCAGGCAGCAGTTGCGGGCCGCGGGAGCCCAGTTGGTGTCGTCGTTTGGGGGGGGGGGGGGGGGGGGGCTGGGCTGCCGATTTCGGACAAGACGAAGTTGATCACAGCCTCGCCGTCTCTAGGCCGTCTTCTTGAGACAGATCTCCAGGAAATCGGGCCCCCCTTCTCCCGAGCTCAGTGCGCTGTCGATCTCGGGTGCGACGCCGCAGCAGGCGCCAGGCGAGTAATGCAAAATATTCGCGCCAAGAGGTCCAAAGCCAGGCGCCGTGCGCGCGGGATTTTCCGTCTACGGTTGCATGCGAAGCTGCGCGACATTGCCGAGGGCCTTTTTCTTCAGGGGGCTCTGCCCCAGGCCTCCTCTGGGCACCCCGTCATGGGCGCCCCTCCCTCCTCTATCGCCGTCTTGCGACGGCAAGCCGCGTCGGCTGTCGCAGGGAAGGGGCCAGGCAGGTGCCTCGCGACCGTCTTGTCAGCGATGCTCGGCGATCAGGGCCCAATGGTTTTGTTGAGAGTGCAGCTTGTCACGGCGTGGCTTGACATGTGGACGCACGCGCCCTCCTTGCACGCGCGCATCGTCCGTGCGCGGCCGCGTGTGCGTGTGCGCATTGGTCGTGGAGCGAAGAAGCGTTGGCGCAGACTGAGGGGGCCCATAGGAGCCGTCCAGGCCACCCCCCACCTCGGCTGGCCCCCCGTCTCTGCGTTTGAATGGCGCAGGCCCGTCGGTGTCAGCCGGGACATCCGGCGCTTTCCCGACCCGCCCCCCGAGGAGCAGAGGAGCGAGGATGTTTTCGATTTCTCCGAACGCCTCGACGACCTCCGCGAGGACCTCTCCCCCTCCCTCTGGGCGGCGGCGTCGACTCACCAGTTCGGGGAAGGCCTGTCCGAGGGCGCCGATTTAATTCCGATCCGTCTTGAGATTCGCCGCGCGGCGCGCGCGGGCTCGCGCGATGGAGTAGGTCAGACTCTCACGGTTGTGTCGGGGGGGGGGGGGGGGGCAGTGGCCGCAACGGAAGCAGCTTGAAGCGGGGTGCCTCGCTTCCACGCTCTGCCCCAGGTGCGGCGAGGCCCCCGAGACCTTGTTTCGCAGAATCTGAGGATGTCGATGCAACCGAGGCCCTGGCTATGAGGACTCGGATTTCCTCCTTCCTCAGGCCCTCGCGGGCCAGGATCAGCATCCCTCCCCCTGGCTTCGTGGCTTCTTCCCTCCTCCCTCACCACTCCTTCGTTCGCTGATGGGCGGGGTGGGGCGACGGTGTGGACGGCGGGGCGGGATGGGGACGACTCCGAGCGCCCGCTCGGCGCCGACACCTCGGCGCGCGCGCGACAAGACTCTCGCTCCTGCCTGGTCGTCTTTGAAACGGTCCGGGCGGGCAGTTCAGCAGCGACGCCCGTAGGCGCCGTGTCGGAGCTGCCGCGGTGGTGATGGAGCTCACTCCCAGCGGCCTCCGCCGTCTTGCAGGCGTAGCGTGCGGCCTCGACGGCCGCCATCAGACTGTTCCTCGGGCAGAGCCGCGCGCCTTTGCGCTCGCTCTGACCACCTTTCAGGGCCCGCAGCTCTACGTCACGGATTGCGCCATGCTGATGCGGGGCTGGAAGAAAGGCCTGCGCCGCTCGGGCGGGGGCACAGGCCCCAACGCCGACCTCTGGCGCCTAATCGAAGGGGAGGTCAGGGCCACGTGGACCTCCAGCCGCCTCGATCCCGAGGCCCCCGAGCTCTCGGAATGGGAGCGACGCGTGGCGGAGGGCAACGGCGCAGCCGATGAGCTCGCTGGCCTTGCCGCTCGCCGCGCTTGGGGCGCGGCGCTCGTTGGCAGTGCCCCGCACACGGCTACGTGGGATTGCACTGCGGCCCTCGTGCGCAAGCGCGCCCGTCAGGCGTTCCTCGACGCCTCGGCGGCCGCCCCTCTGGACAGCGGGGCGGCCTTCCCGTGCCCTCGCGGCCCGCTCCCCCAGCCCACCAGCAGGCGCCCTTTCGCCTCCAGCCACTGCTTCGTGCGTGCTGCTCGCCATTGGGCTCGTGCCCTCTGCCGCCAGCTCGTGCTGGGCACCTGAGGAGGAGGAGGAGGAGGAGGAGGAGGAGGAGGAGGAGGAGGAGGAGGAGGAGGAGGAGGAGGAGGAGGAGGAGGAGGAGGAGGAGGAGGAGGAGGAGGAGGAGGGTCTTGTGGAGGCCTGCGCCTCCCCGTGCACGGCTGCGGGCGGCTCAGGCGAGCCGCGCCCTGCCGACACTATTCGGGATGCGGGGGCTGTGGTTCGGGTGGGCGGGAAGATCCTTCACTCTTCGCACCGCGTGCAGCTGTGGCCGCGCCAGAGTCTGTTTTTCTGCGCGCGGTGCGGGTGCACGGCCTCGACCAACCCCGTCAACTTGCTCGGGGAATGCGGTGAGGCCACTTGGAAGGGGCGCGAAAACCTGGCGCGGATCCGCAAGGGTCTGCACCCAGGTCGTCGCGTCCCCTCTGCGGTGGCGGAATGCGACCTGGGTAGGGCACGCCGTGAAGCAGCGCTGCGTCGCCCACTTGGGGTCTTATGGCACGAGCCTTCGGTGTTGCCATAGTTGCGCCCCCACTTCATGTGGATGGCAGGCAACTCCGAGGCAACTCCTCCTCCTCCACCTCCCCCCTCCTCCTCCTCCTCCTCCTCCTCCTCCTCCTCCTGACACGTAGCCGAACCTCCGCCTCCTCCTCCTCCTCCTCCTCTTCCTCTTTCTCCTCTTTCTCCTCCTCCTCCTCCTCCTCCTCCTTGCCCTCATCCCTTCTCCTCCCCCCCCCCCCCCGCCTGTGTGTGGCGGCGCCAGACCGGGCGGCGCCTCGTCGGCGTGCTGTGGGCACAGGGCCTCTCGTGGAGGTGAGCACCCCCCCTCGGGGAGACGTCATGGGACGCACAAAGACATTCTATTGGAGGCGTTCGTCCGACCCCAAACATGTAGTATATCCATCTTGTAGTATATCGTTACCCGAGCGGTGTGGCCAGAAAGTGCCCGCCAGGACGCATATAGTGTACGATTTCTCGGCGCGCGCGTCGCCCCCTGGGAGGGCGACGCGCACATAATAGTAGCATGGTGGGGCGACGCCGAACGTAAGACTCGGGTTCGGGGGACTCGGGTTGGCCTGACAAGGTCATCATGAAAGCGACGAGGCTCAATATAACATTTGACGCGAACTTCGGCTGCAGACATCGTACGGGAGCTGGGCCGTCAGATTCCGGGATGCGCTCGTCGAGAAACGCCAGTCAACCCGAGTTCCGGCGCACTCGAGTCTTACGTTTCCCCGACCCCCACACCTGGCGCTCGCCGTGCGCTCTTCCTGACGGGCACGCGCGCGGGCACAGATGCTTAAGACGACGCCAAGACGAGGATGGAATCGGGTGAGGATAGATCGGGCACCTCTGACATCAGGGCGGCTCTGGAGGATGTCTCGGGCGCGCCGCGGCCTTGCCAGGGCGCCCCAGATAGGGGGCCCACAAAGGACGCACGCGCCCAGCTATGTACCTGAACACGGCCCCATTGACCCGCGAGACCGGCCGCGTGATACAAACATTCGCGCCGTGCGAACTCTCGAAACCAGTGTGGCTTCATGTGCGTGTACGTCCTTCTTTCGCTCCTGACCAGAACGCTCCGAGAGTGCTCCAAAGCGCACCTCCGGAACGGGGTCCTCCACCGTCCTGGCCCCGCCGCGCTCCCCACCCCGCACCCGGCGCTCGCTCGCCCTGCGCTCTCCGTGGCGGGCGCGCGCGCGCGGGCACAGCCTCTGGCGCGAAACACGCGGATCCTGGGGGAAACGCTCATGAAGGGGCCCTGGGACACACAAAGAAGTACACACACAGATGACAGGATTCCCCATATCTTACCGTATTGTTTCTGGGTTTTGTCCCCTCCCCACACTTCCCACATTCTCCCATCTTTTCCTGGGGGTCGACGACTCATTGTGTCCCTGTCTTTCTCTCCCTCCTGTGAACTCCGGAGGCCACTCCTGGGAGGCCTTCGCAGAACAACGGCTCGCGCCGAGCTCTCCGATGGAGGCCGCACGCGCAGCGCCCGCCCTCTGCGCGCCCCGGGCGCTGGAGCAGCGCGACCCGCGCGCGGGAGGGCCGGGGAGCACCCGGACCCCCCCCTCCCCACGAGGCACAACAGGATCCCCGGTGGCCGGCCCCCACCCCCCCCTCGGCGGACCGCCCCCCCGCAACACGAGGCACAACAGGATCCCCGGTGACCGGAGGCCCCCCCCCCTCTCGGCGGACCCCCCCCCCCTCCCCATGAGGCACAACAGGATCCCCGGTGGCCGGAGGCCCACCCCCCCCCTCTCGGCGGACCCCCCCTCCCAACACGAGGGACAGTGGGATCCCCGATGGCCGGAGGCCCCCCCGCCCAGGCGGCCCGGAAAACTAGGCCGACGGCGCCCGAATCACCACGGGTCCTCGGGGAGAGGAGGAAGGTTGAGAGCATGCTCCCGGGCCCGGGCCGGGTCCCCTGCCTTTTGCTGCAGAGCTGCGGGCCGGAGCCCGGCAGCTGTGTATTCCCTGCTCGTCGGCGCAAGTGCGGAGGTGTCGGCGCGTCGCCCATGGCGGCGAGCTGGCCCCAAACAGAAGTTGCATATTGAAACAGGAAGTGGCACGCCTCCCGAGCGCCCTGCTCCCCGACCCTCTAGACCTGGCCCTCCAGTCATACTCAACAGAAAGCGCACCCTCATGATAAACACCCCAAGAGGCGCAGTTGTGTAAGCACACCCAGGGAAGGGATCGAACTGGGCAGGGCCATTTCGTAAGCGCCCAGGGCAGTTCAGTAAACGCCAGTTGTCGGAGTCGGGGTGTTTTTTTCGTCCGTTGTTCATAAGCATAAACTTCTGGCGCTCCGCGCAGATTGTTTGGATCCGCGCGAAACGCCACAAGTTTGTGTTTTATGGCATTTTTTCTTCTTCGAGTTTTTCCTCCCTGGAACGAGGGCGGAAAGCATGGACCCCAGATGCTGCAAGACGGTCGAGCCGAATGACCGAATGCGCCCGAGAAGTGGGGCCAGTGCGCATCGCGGCCCGAGGCATGTGCGCGGACACATGGCGGCCAGGTAGCGTAACGTGTGGAAGGACATCGAATCAAGACCACCTGTGTGCAGTACGGGCTCGACCGCAAGAAGCCTTCCATACGAAGCCCAACCCTGAGACGCCGGGGCGTCCATGGATGTTTGGTGTGGGGGGGGCGTCGCGCTCTCCGTAGCAACATCACCGACACTCAGGAAACCCAGGGCATCCTGGAGGCAAGCAGGGTGCCTCTTGGCATGGGGCTCCACTGCAAAGAGCACCTGTGTAGTCGGAAACTTTCGGAGCTCCGCGCGAACCTCTGAACATTTATGCCTGATTATGCACCTTTTCCTTCTGCCCGGGAGGCGTGGGACTCGGGTTCGGGGGACTCGGGTTGGCCTGACGGGGCCATCAGTGAAAATGACGAAACCCAATCTGAAATTTGACGCGAGCTCCCGCTGCAAACATCCCACGAGGACCGGACAGTCAAAATCCAGCAGCGCTCGTCAAACAACTTCGGCAACCCCGAGCTCTGGCTTACTCGAGTCTTACGTTTTGCCGATTCTTCTTCGGAGAAGAAGACGAGGGGGCCATGAAATCTGGGAGGTCTCATGGCCCGGGGCCATGGTCTCCGCCCTACCCAATCTTCACACCTCTCGACGCCAGAAGGCTTTCGGTTCGCGCGTCGGGCCTCCTGGACGATCCGGGCCCCCCCCCGAAAGCTTTCCACGAGGCGCACCTGCTGGAAAACATCCCGAGGCTGGAAAACGGCCAAGGCCATCTGAAACGTCCAGAGACGTGGACTCCCCCTCCCCCTCCCCCTCCTCCTCTTTCTCCTCCTCCTAATTTCCTCCTCCTCTTTTCCTCCTCCTTTCCTCCTCCTCCTCCTCCTCCTCCTCCTCCTCCGCCTCCTCCTCCTGTCCTCACCTCCCTCCTGGCCGCCCCCGAAGAGGCGGCGGATGCGCGGCTCGCGTGCCCCTGCCGAGTGGGCACTGGCGCCCACCTCCATCGCACCCCCCCGCCCCTCCCAGGAAGGGGAGGAGTAGGAGGGGGAGGAGGGGGAGGAGGAGGAGGAGGTAGGAGGAGGAGGAGGAGGAGGAGGAGGAGGAGGAGGATGCGCGGCTCGCGTGCCCCTGCCGAGTGGGCACTGGCGCCCACCTCCATCGCACCCCCCCGCCCCTCCCAGGAAGGGGAGGAGTAGGAGGGGGAGGAGGGGGAGGAGGAGGAGGAGGTGAGGAGGAGGAGGAGGATGATGATGATGATGAGGAGGAGGAGGAGGAGGAGGAGGAGGGAGGGAAAGGAGGAATGAAAGAAGGCAGGAAGGAAGGAGTATGACCCTGCCCCCCACCCCGGGGCCTCGGCGAGCGACAGCTGGGCGGCCCCAGGCCGGGCCGCCGCGAAGGGGAAAGCGGGCACCTGCCGTCGGGCCCTGGCCCTCGCGCTCTCCTCCTCCCCTCCTCCTCCTCCTCCTCCTCCTCCTCCTCCTCCTCCTCCTCCTCCTCCTTCTCCTCCTCCTCCTCCTCCTCTGCCTCCTCCTCCTCCTCCTCCTCCTCCTCCTCCTCCTCCTCCTCCTCCTCCTCCTCCTCCTCCCTCCTCCTCCTCCTCCTCCTCCTCCTCCTCCTCCTCCTCCTCCCCCTCCACAACTACACAATCTGAATGCTACTCCCCTCTCCCCTGATGACTTCCGGAAGATACCCGGCGCACTGATTTTGGCACGCAAGACTCTCAGGACATCGTTTTCGCAGTTTTTTCCGAATGTTGCTCCCGTTGAAGCGCGGCCTCATTTTCGGGCTTCTGCTCGTTCCGAATCGTGCTCCCGCTGCAATGCTCGCCTCATTTCCGCGCTTCCGCTCGTTCCAAATCGTGCTCCCGCTGCAGCGCTGGTGTCATTTCCGCGCTTCCGCTCGTCCCGAATCGTGCTCCCGCTGCAGCGCTGGCGTCATTATTTCCAGTGCTATGCCACGGCGGCATGGTTTTAGGTTCTTCCAAATATGCCCCAACATCTAGAAAATGGCCTCCCGAAAAAACAATCGGAAATGATTACGCATCCAATGTCGGTTCGTCGTTTTTTGGGGCCGCAGAAGCTGTCGCCACTTTGGGGCGTCGCAACGCCATGCTATGTCATGGCACGCGTTCTAACAGTACCGTCATGTCATCGTTGAAACTCGTGCTGACAGTACTGATGGGGCTCACTTTTCCCAGGGGGTCCGTAACGCTCTCGCTCGGGAACTGACAGATATCAGACACGATCGGTAACTGGCATTGTCTTCGGTCTGTCGCAACTGCGGTGCCCTGTTCTGGGAATGAACTCAGCTGCTTGGTTGTAGGTGGACCATGCGCTGCCGTAGTAACTTCTGAAAGTTGATGGGGTTCCATATGCCTTCGGCTGAGTCTGCAATTGCGAATGGGACCCCGTACTCTTACGAACCGCCCTCATGCATCATGGCCCTGTTCATATGAAACGGCTTCCCTGACGTTGAAGAGCTCCCTTACGGTTGGTACTTCCTTTTGCCCTTGAACCGAAACACTGCGTGTGGCTGGCCAATCGCGGAACATCGTGTCCAGAAATGGTAAACTAAAACACGTGCTCTCGGCCGTGTTGGTAGCGATTGCCTTGCGCCACCAATCAGTCGTGCTATACCAGTACCATGAAACGGCAACGAAAACAGCATTGTTCACCTGGCAACTGTACACTCAAAATTCATCCTGGCCCTGTACACAGAACTCTACTATAATTGCCGAAACAACCCAAGGTCATGGTGGATACCGTTACGAAGTGAGCACCAGGTATGCTGCGCTATTCAAACTGGGCACTTCGCACTTAAACTTGCATTCATTGTCTAATAGGGTGTATGTCCACTTGTCCTCCAACCCACTCACTTCTTGACCCATCGAGTCTGCGTTGCGCCAACCAGGCCTGAACTGGTGAAACGACTGGTGCGTCAACACAAAGCTCGAATGCGAACGATGCCAGCTAAAACCTGTCACACTAAGAAGCTGTTCCCATCATGGCGGCATCTATTCAGCCGCATTCGAATGAACACATTTCAAAACACGCGCGGCACTATTTTTCAGATCTAATCGGTCACCAATACGTCGTCGAATCTCCCAGCCAAAAGGACTCTAAAACTTTCCAATCCTGCCATCAACAGTCGAACAGCCTTTGCGAACAACTGCAGTCGGACTGGCGCGGTGTACACCTTATCCACGCCGATGGCGGTCAACGCGACGTTCTGCCAGTGGCTGCTTGGACGCTGCTGGCGTTCGTTGCCCCAATTGAAATGTCCTGCAATGTACGATGCACGAGAAGGTCTTGGTCCGTCCGCATCATGACTCCGCAACACACAGCTGCAGCTCGGGCATGTGGCGCAGCAAGCTTTGCTGCTCTATTGGCGCACCCAAAGGTTGTTTCCAGCGCTCCTGTGGAGAGGGGGGGGATGAGGCGACAGTGAGACAGAGAGAGAAATAGACGCGAGAGAGAGAGAGAGAGAGAGAGAGCGCGCATTTACGTGTGCATATACACACCTGTATATCTATATATATGTGTGTATATATATATGTATACACATACAGGGAGAGAGAGAGAGAGAGAGAGAGAGAGAGAGAGAGCGCAACAGACTGGCTAGTACAACGTAAACGCCAGTAGACACAACGGGTGGTAGCCTGTGCTGCCGCATCCACGGGGCCGCGCTGCAGGTAAAGGCAGCCAGCAGTCCCAGACACTGGAAGGAAAGGCCGGGACGCCAGATGCAGTCGTCGCCTACTCCGTCCTGCGCCGCAGGGAGGAGCACAGCGTCGCGATCAAGCTGCACCTGCCCGCACACGTCTCTGCGGAATTGCGATGATCGTGGATGCCTCGGGGCCCGAGCGCGACTGGAGTCCTGCTGCTGCCCACGCTTCGGATGTGCAGACGTGCACCAACCACGGTAATTACCACGACAATCACTCTGCTTCCTCAAGTCCCTTCCCATACGTAATGACCCGTGGTGCGATGACCCTTGAGCCAGCATGTCTCTCACCCAAAGGAGTGCGCAGACAATTGCCACCTGGCTTCGCCGTAGCTGGGGGTCACTTCCTCCGCGCCCCCCACCCCTCCGACACCCCTGTCGCCCTCCCCTCTCCCAAGGCCTCTTTGGGGGAGGCGTAAGACTCGGGTTCGAGGGACTCGGGTTGGCCTGACGGGGCCGTCAGGAAAAGGCGAGACCCAGTCTGAACTCTAACGTGAGCTCCTGCTGCAGACATCCCACGAGAACTGGACGGTCAAAGCTCGGGATGGGCCCGTCGAGAATCGGGGGCAGACCCGAGCTCCGGCGAATTCGAGTCTCACGTTTCCCGATCCTCCCCCTCCCCTCCCTCCTCCCTCCCTCCCTCCCTCCCTCCTCCTCCTCCTCCTTCTCCTCCTTCTCCTCCCCTCCTCCTCCTCCTCCTTCTCCTTCTCCTTCTCCCTCCCTCCCTCCAAACAAACAAACAAACACGCAAAAAAACACGCGCCTCCGGCAGAGCCGCCGCCTCCATGGGGGTGGCGAAGTCCGAGGCGGACTGGTGGGCCGGCGAGGGCGTCAGCGTTGCGGCGGCGGTGCTGGCGGGGGACGCCGCCAGCCCGTGCCACGGCCCAGAGACGCCCGGCCCGAAGGCCGCGCCCAGCATGGAGAGCCGGGACGCGAGCCTGGGCGGGACGAGGTGCGGAGAGGTGTGCGCCAGCAGGGGGCGCAGGGGGCAGGGGGGTGGCGCGGAGGAAGCGGGGGGGGGGAGGAGGAGCTGGGGTGGTAAGGGGGGAGGGGGAGGGGGGACGGGGCAGGAAGGAGAGGTGAAGAGGGGCGGGGGAGGAGGAGGAGGCGGAGGAGGAGGAGGAGGAGGAGCAGGAGGAGCAGGGAGGGAGGCAGGAGTAGAACGGAGAAGGAAGGATGAGGAGGCAGGGGGCCCCCACTTCCCCTCCGCTCTCCCCCTGGGATGCCCGTTTCGTGCGGCTATTCTCTCCCCCCCCGGAGAGCCCGGCAATGACCTGCTTGAGGTGTGCGTTCTCTGCCTCCAGCACGGACTGGCTGGCCATGCAGGCCGCCACCTCGGGAGGGAGGCCATGCGCAGTTCCTCCTCTGCCACGTCCTCATCCCCGCCTTCAGGATGCTCCTCTGTCTCCGCAGATTGTCTGAAACGGTTGCCTGTGCTGGAAGCACCCTGCGGCCCGCTCGCACGTGTCTTGCGAGCGGGCGGGGGGCAACCCCTCCTCGTGATATTTTCCATCGGCGTATCATCACGGGCCCATGCACTGTGAGTGTACAGCGACGCGCGACAGCACGGCTAGGGCATCGGCGTAAACGACGCCTGCACAATCACTCTAGGAAGTCCCCCCGTCAAGCGACGTCGGAGAGGCATATTGCAACTGCAAAATTCGGAGCTGCTTCACCGTCGTTGTAAGCGGGCATACGTGTGTCAATGGCGTCACTTCTCAATTTGACAATTCATCTGGTACGGAATGCAATGCACACCGGGCATGTGCACATCGCTCGTGTCCTCCTTCATTCGCGACGCATCTTCTAGTATGTGCGTTTTAACATGCTGCTGTCTCAGGCCATCGAACACAGCGCCGTAACATGTGTCAAGACAATCCGTTGCCACACGCTCATGTTAATGCGTGGTTGCTTGTACATTCTCAGAGTTTGCTCTTGATAGACGTGCTTCCCAATTGGGGTCAAATCATATTCGTTTGATTGCCCGTGCTTGCTCGATTCGCCTCTATACCCGACAACATTCAGATTGACGAGGCGCTCGGCATGTCTGGACGCCCAGAGAGGCCATGTCCCGGGTGTGCATCAGAAGTTGTGCGCTTCGAGTGGGCCGTGTGAGTCTACAGATGCAACTCCTGCCCAGTTCCCATTATGCGGGCCAGTCCTGAGGAAACAAATTGAATCAGCGTGCCACGTTGGCGGCACATCCATGCGACGTCAACAGTTGCACGCTTTAGGCGTCCATGTCGAAGGTCAGTCTGGCCGTGTAGGTTACACCCAAGCTCATGCTGGGACGCTCGAGGGACCCCGAACATCCCTCCCCCTGCCCCTTCTTCCTCCCCTCCCCCTCCCTGGGCACTAGCTTCGAGTCTCGTGTGCATCCAGCCCTCATAGATGGGGGCATTGGTTGAAAGAAACAATGCCATCAACTAGATGCTAACGGTAACGAAACAGAAGCGGGGGATGACGCAGAGGAGGAGCTGGACGAAGATGACAACGTGGGCATGCGGTCGTCAAGCGATGCTCGGGGTTGCAGATTGCAGCAGGGACATGAAGACATGCTTCTTCTCGCCAGGTCAGGGGCTGCTAGAACCGACCAGCGCGCCCAATGGAGAGAGAGGGTTTCTGGGGACGTGCTGACGCAGGCAAGCGCTAACCCAGTGAGCAGCCGAGGCCACGTCACCAACTGGGGCTGGCGACAAGGAGTGGCGCCCGGGCCCCGGCTGGTTGCAGGCAGAGAGGGGCATGGCTCCTGGACCCGTGCCCGCCGGGGAGGGATCGGAGAATATCGCGATTTGAGTCCCAGACTTAGGTCGGGCATGTCCTCCTACAGGCGGATTTTGGAAGCAAGAGGAAACACAGTCAAACCATACGCAAACACAGTCAAACATAATCGAACATTCGTCCCAACAATATTTTTGACTCTTTTTCAAAACTCCTCCCGTAGAGGGACATGCCCGACATAATCCCAGACCCGATCTCTCTGCAACACTTTCCGAACCGCATCCATCCGCGACGGTCCCGGGGCCTGCCGCCAGGTGACCCCGCCCGGCGCCAAAAGAGGATGCAACGCCCCCGGGTCCCAGGGCACGCCACGTACACGCCCCGTACGGCGGTGACTCAAGCGGCCCCCCATGGGACTGCGGGGCGGAGGGGCGTCCCGAAGGAGACGCAGCGCCGTAAGCATAAACTTTACGCGCTGCGCGCGGGTTTCCCGCAGATCCAAGAATACCGCGCGGAGCGCCAGAAGTTTATGTTTAGGCTCCCCGAGGGGGTGCACCCGCCGAGGCATGGGGGCCAGCGATGCGCGCAGCCCACGCCCTGCGCGCCGCGCACGCCCTGCGCGCCGCGCCTCCTCCTCGTCCCTGCCTCCTCCTCCTCCTCCGCCTCCTCCTCCTCCTTCATTCCTTGTCCTTATAAATCAAATCTCCCTGTCGCACCCCGAGGCCAGGTTTTAGGGCGGGCGGGTCGTTTCGCCTGAGACTTCCTCACCATTAAGACTCTGGAGCTCTAAATTTGGCAATAGTTTCACAGATGGAGGGCGGGCCGTTTTCAAAATGTGGCTCTCGCCTTAGCGCGGCGCACATTCGTCTTAAAACATTTGCAAAAGCATCACGGGTTGAGGGCGAGTCGTTTTCAAAATGTGGCTCTCGCCTTAGCGCGGCGCACGTTCGTTTTAAACATTTGCAACAGTTTCATGGATCGAGGGCGGGCCGTTTTCAAAATGTGGCTCTCGCTTTAGTGCGGTGCACATTCGTTTCCAACATTTGCAAGAGTTTCACGGATTGAGGGCGGTTCCTTTTTAAACTGTGGTTCTCGCCTTGGCGCGGCGCACATTCGGCTTAAACGTGTGCAGGCGTGTCGCGGATTCCCATCATCAACGTGCCAGAAATTGTGTTTGGAAGGCTTCAGGATTATGCGGGTGCAACAGATATGTTGAGTCGCTGTGTTAAGGCCCCAGGAACGGTGTTCTGGTACGATTCAGGAATGTCAAGACGCAACAGTCAGATTGATGCGTGGTGGCGTTGGAATCCCGAGAACAACGTTTTGGCATACTTCAGGTTCATCAATAGGTTGTCTTTCAAAGAGGCAGTTCTTTCAAAAGGCATATGAAGAGGGAGCTTGGAGGGAGGGTTTAGTCCGACATCGTTGATGACTCTTGGGCTTACACTGGTCCTCCTCTTCCTTTTCCTCCTCCCTCCCTCTCTTCCCTCCTCTCCCCTCCCCTCCCCTCCTCTCCTTCCCTCCTCCTCTTCCTCCCTTCCTCCTCCCTCTCCTCGCCCACGCCCTGGTCCTCGCCCTCGTCCCCGCCGCCGTCATCACCGTCGTCGTCCTCCTCCTCCTCTTCCTCCTCCTCCTCCTCCTCCTCCTCCCTGTCTGCGGGGCTCCAGGGGAGTACCAATCGGTCGAAGGAAAGCGGGCAGAGACATGAAGCAGGAGGGCGTTGAAAGTGGATTGGGCGCTCGCCCGCCCCCTGAGGCGGGCAGAAAAGGCGAAGCCGCTCGATCGCTGAAGCAGGAAGGCGCTCAAAGCAGATCGGAGTCTGGGGGTCCAAACATAACTGCTTTCACCGTCCGACGGGCGCAGCTCATGCAGCACCATCGATGGCCGAGCGGCACGAACGCTCTGGCCGCCCTGGGCTCGGGGCGCATCTATAGCTCTGATGGCCATCGGCCCCTGTCTCGGGGAGACGTAAGACCCGGGTACGGGGGACTCGGAAATCCCCGACGAGGTCGTCAACAAGAATGACGAGGCCGAGCCTGCATTTTGACGAGGCCTCCCGCTGCAGACATCCCACGAAACTCCTCCTCGTCAAAATCCTAGGCGCGGTCGTCAAAAAACGATGGCGAACCCGAGTCCTGGCAAACCCGGGTCTTACGCTCCCCCGACTGTCTCGCGCGCCGATTCTCCCGCGCGGGGGGCCTCCGCCGCGAGATTGTCCGCCTTCTCCTCCTCTCGGCTACACGCGAGAGTGGCCCCAGGCAAGAGCGACCTTCGGCGAGTGGCTCCACGGGGGAACGCGGGGCGGCCAGACCCAGGCGCGCAAGCCGCTGCTGCGGATTCACGCCCACCAGAGGTCACTCCGGCGAAAGGTCACTCTTACGTCTAGTCGATCCTCGCGCTGCTGCACCTGGAGCAACATCGCCCTGCCTTTCCGGGCCATCTCCTCCATCTTCTCCGCAACCTCCGGGCGCGTACAGCAGGCGACCCAGATGTCAGAAGATCTCAGCCACCTGGATACGCAACACGTAGCCCGCGGCGTGATGACATGGAGCTCAACACGCAGACTGAACACGCAAGTCTGGCGCGATACGTTCGCCAACACGTGCGCCAGCACGTGGAGCCAACACGCACCGTGTTACCACGAACGTTTTCAACACGGTGCGCGCTGCGTTTCAACACGGGCGTATCAGGGCAGCTCAGCCGACGATGTGTCTTGCTCAGCCCCGGCGCTTTTTCTCGATTTCGCCTTCGGGGGCCTGTCTAGAGCCCCTGGGGCCTTGTGACAATCAAACATGCAATTCCTGGGCGAAAGAACGACCCCCCAGGGAAAGCGGTCAGGACCTCTGGGGCCGGGGGTCGGAAAGAGCCTACCGGCAGACGTTGGGCTGCCTGCCAGGGCGTCTCCTGGCAGGTGTGCCGCCATCGCTCGAGGGAACGCGGGCCACAAGGGGCATCAGTGGAAGGGTGCCCCTTTTCCTGAGTCGGACAAAAAAGGAGACTCGAGGAACTGCTCGAGCTCCGCGAATGAGTGGAAGAATGGGTGGGGACAGCGTGGTGCCAGGGATGCACGGGCCATTCCTGGGTTGTGTGAGCGTGAACATCCGCCATACCACCACACACACGCATACACACGCGCACACGTATAAACACGGACACGCGCACACGCGCACTCACATTTCCGCAGGAGCAACACATTCATCCGTCGAAATTCGACCCT